GGGAATTAGTTATAATTAGCGCCTGACCTCTTATTAGGCACTCGAGCACTCGAAAAAAAAGCACTCGAGCCCAATCTTTTTTAGCATTAAGCCGCATACGTAAAATATCGTGTAGAAGAAGTGCTGTTCATTAACGTCATCTCGTCTTATGATCACACAGAAATGCCTTTATTGCCGAATTGTTCAATCACTATTTTAAATCAACATTCAGGATTGGCACAATTTCAGATTTGCGAAGTTTATCACCATAGAAAAACATGAGAAAGTTAATTATTGTCTTAATAGATATCTGCATCACGGTATCGACAATAATATTACCATTCGCATAAAATTGGGACGGTAAATTTACAAATCTTGATAGGTAATAATAAAGCCAATGCAAATGTTAATTTGGGTCCTCAATGTCTTCAACAGCTGTTGCCGATGTGAGCGAACCGGTAAACCCGAAATATGAAACTTCGATGTCCTCCGACCCGCAAGAATTCATATTTGTAAAAAAGAGAGGGCGGGAATATAGATTACCAAAACCTGGATATCGCCAACAAAACGATCGGTGACAAGAACAATTAGCGATTACAACGGAATTAACCAGTAGAAAGGCTTTGTTGCCGATTTTACCGACGTTCCAAAAATATTTGTTATTCGGTACTCGTTAAAAATATTCGATTAAAAAAAATATTGAATTTTGCCCACCCGTACTCGCATATCAATGAGAAATAGTTGTGTGAATATCGCAAAATTCCGGAAAATGCCATGTGCTTTCAACATTGTGATAACAATAAAATGGCTCTTAATGGTATTTAGTGAATTTGGTGATTTTGCAAATCTGTGACATGCTGCTAAAAGTTTCGTCTGATTTGAAAATCGTGCATATTGGTCACAATTCATCCAAAGTGACTATAACACTTTACTAACACTTTTATAGTCATTTTAAATTCATCGATATCATTGGTAGCCACATGACCACTCTCGTTAAAAGAAACGCACTGCGTAGTATTCCAACATCTGGTTTCAAAGACGCTGGGAGCGTTTTTGCGGGAGAAGCCGAATGATGTGCTCACATAATAATCATATCATAAACAAGAATTTTGCCGTTAATGCAAAAGCTTTATCTCCTGTCTGCATCTCATAGGTTAGAACTCCGGTAAATATCGTTATGATATGCAGAGTTGAGTTACAAAAGTACTAGTATGTTACTTATTTGCCAACTTAATACTCGAAAATATTTGTTAACTTTGAATTTTTATTCTATTCAAAATGGGAAAAAAGTGCTATTTCTCTTTAAAATCGGGAAAAAGTGCTATTTCGCAGTCCCTAAAAAAAGTTGCGAAAGTGCTTCGCAATTTTCGCAAAAAAGTGCGCTAATAGTGAACACTGCCTGTCTTACGTATCTTGTTCGACGTTTCAAAATTTACAATAAACTCAAGAGTCGAATATTCACGTATCTCAGCTTTGGGTCAAAACACTGATACTAAACTCTTGAGAAATTTCCATAAAATACATTGTTTACCTGTCTTATCTTGTTCGACGTTTTTAAATTTACAAAAAACTGAAGCGTCGAGTATTCACGTAACTCAGCTTTGGGTCAAAGCACTGATACTATTCCCTTGAGGAATTTCCATAAAATACATTGTTTACATGTGTTATCTTGTTCGACGTTTTTAAATTTACAAAAAACTCATAGTCGAGTATTGACGTAACTCAGCTTTGGGTCAAAACACTGATACTAAGCTCTTGAGAAATTTCCATAAAATACATTGTTTACCTGTCTTAATTATCTTGTTCGACGTTTTTAAATTTACAAAAAGCTCAGAGTCGAATATTCACGTAACTCAGCTTTGGGTCAAAACACTGATACTAAACTCTTGAGAAATTTCCTTAAAATACATTGTTTACCTGTCTTATCTTGTTCGACGTTTCTAAATTTACAAAAAAACTTATAGTCGAGTATTCATGTGACTCAGCTTTGGGTCAAAACACTGATACTATCCTCCTGAGAAATTTCCATAAAATACATGGATTACTTGTCTTGTTCGACGTTTCTAAATTTACAAAAAAACTTAGTCGAGTATTCATGTGACTCAGCTTTGGGTCAAAACACTGATACTAAGCTCTTAAGAAATTTCCATAAAATACATGGATTACTTGTCTTACTTATCTTGTTCGACGTTTCTAAATTACAAAAAAACTTATAGTCGAGGAATCATGTGACTCAGCTTTGGGTCAAAACACTGATACTAAACTCGTGAGAAATTTCCATAAAATACATTGTTTACCTGTCTTACTTATCTTGTTCAGCGTTTCTATATTTACAAAAATCTCAGAGTTGAGTATTCTCATAACTCAGCTTTGGGTCAAAACACTGATATTAAACTCCTGAGAAATTTCCATCAAATACATTGTTTACCTGTCTTATCTTGTTCGACGTTTTTAAATTTACAAAAAACTCAGTATTCACGTAACTCAGCTTTGGGTCAAAACACTGATACTATCCTCTTGAGAAATTTCCATAAAATACATTGATTACCTATCTTACTTATCTTGTTCGACGTTTATAAATTCACAAAAAACTCATAGTCGAGTATTCACGTAACTCAGCTTTTGGGTCAAAACACTGATACTAGCCTCTTGAGAAATTTCCATAAAATACATTGTTTACCTGTCTTATCTTGTTCGACGTTTTTAAATTTACAAAAAACTGAAGCGTCGAGTATTCACGTAACTCAGCTTTGGGTCAAAGCACTGATACTATCCTCTTGAGGAATTTCCATAGAATTCATTGTTTACCTGTGTTATCTTGTTCGACGTTTTTAAATTTACAAAAAACTCATAGTCGAGTATTCACTGTTCACGTAACTCAGCTTTGGGTCAAAACACTGATACTAAGCTCTTGAGAAATTTCCATAAAATACATTGTTTACCTGTCTTATCTTGTTCGACGTTTTTAAATTTACAAAAAACTGAAGCGTCGAGTATTCACGTAACTCAGCTTTGGGTCAAAGCACTGATACTATCCTCTTGAGGAATTTCCATAGAATTCATTGTTTACCTGTGTTATCTTGTTCGACGTTTTTAAATTTACAAAAAACTCATAGTCGAGTATTCACTGTTCACGTAACTCAGCTTTGGGTCAAAACACTGATACTAAGCTCTTGAGAAATTTCCATAAAATACATTGTTTACCTGTCTTATCTTGTTCGACGTTTTTAAATTTACAAAAAACTGAAGCGTCGAGTATTCACGTAACTCAGCTTTGGGTCAAAGCACTGATACTATCCTCTTGAGAAATTTCCATAAAATACATTGTTTACATGTCTTATCTTGTTCGACGTTTTTAAATTTACGAAAAGCTGAAGAGACGAGTATTCACGTAACTCAGCTTTGGGTCAAAACACTGATACTAGCCTCTTGAGAAATTTCCATAAAATACGTTGTTTACATGTCTTATCTTGTTCGACGTTTTCTCGCATGAAAAGTTTATTTGCCCTAAAGGCAGATACACATATACCGGTCCTTTATCCAGGCCTATCACAAACTATAATGCACCATCACCAAAGCAGCACCTTCACACAAACATGTGTAACAAGTAATTTTCGCTAGGTAACAACAAGTAATGTGACAATAATTACAATTGTCCGGTGAAGTAATCAGACCAAAGCATTCATGGTTAGTATTGAGGGTTTTCGTCATATTTCAGGCCATATTCTTTATAATCTGCCATAGTTAGCAAATATCTATTAAGAAACCCATGATTATAAAATAAATTTGCTTATTATTTGCTGCTGAATCTTGTGCTCTAGCTTGTCAATTGGCAGATACGATGTGTAAGAAACATATTTCAAATTTGCCATGTTTATACGGAAATTAGGGTTGCTATCCGTGCCAACTAACAGATAATAACTTATCCTAAAACACAATTAAAATTCTGTCGGTAATGAATTGCGCTAAGGTGATGCCATAACAAACAAGAAAGATTTGGTCGCGAGATCTGCGTTAGATGACTGTGAAACGAGGTTGTTTTTTTAAGCTGAAGGTAGAACAATCAAATTAAAAAATTATTATAACGTGTGTAAAAAATATTCGACTATTTGGTACTCGTTGAAAATATTCGATTCGAAAAAATATTGGATTTTGCCCACCCCTACTCGCATTTGAATGAGGTATAGTTGCGTTTGATTTTTGACCCTGGTCTGATTTCGATTTATCGTAAATGACTAGATAGTATTAAATATCGCAAAATTCTGGGTAATGCCACAGGCTTTTAACATTTATGGTTACAATAAAATGGCTGTTAGTACGACCTATGTATTCTGTGAATTTGTTGATTTCGCAAACTTGTGACATGCTGCTAAAAGTTTCTTGTAATTCAAAAAATAATGGTCAAAGTTTACTTAAATTCATTCCATTACTAAACAATGTCGTGTTGGGTAACAGACCTTTCTGGATAGCTCCAATAAATTCACTAAGAAGGGAACAAAGACCCGTGAAACCAGCACTAGAAAATCGTGCACTGTGGTCACAATGATGTCATTGATATTCACATGACCACTCTTGATCAAAGAAACGCCATGCCTAGTATTCCAACGTCTGGTTTTAAAAACGCCACAGAGCGTTTTTGCTGGAGAAGCTGAATCTGTGCGCTTGTATAATAATCATATCATAAACAAGAATTTTGCCGTTAATGCAAAAGCTTCAACTCCCATGTCAATTTTGCTGTTAATGCAAAAGCTTCAACTCCCATGTCTGCACCATACAGCAAATATCGTTATGTAATGAAAAATTGGGTTACAAATATACTAGTACGCAACTTTTTTGTCAACTTCATACTTGCACGAAAATATTTGTCAACTTCACTGCTAACGATGTCCATATATTTGAGCATTGGTCTCTTGTTTGATATGGCAAATTTACTTTATTTTTTATTTTGTTTGTTCTCATACACTACATACTATTTTTATTCAACTTTAAAATTCAAGTAAAATATCCTCTTTTTTATATAGAAAATCTCACTCACCGGAACCTTCAGACAAAAGTAAGTACATTTTTTCTACATTGATTACTATTCTTAGGATATTCAGAATGACTATTTAGTGGCTTCATTTCAAAGTCTTAAGTACTGTTAATCATTATAGCCCTGTTTATCATTATAGTGCAGGGGTGGGCAAAATTTTTTAGTATAAGAGCTGCATGCAGCAAGTCAGAAATATGTGGGAGCCTCATAATTCTTGAAATTAGTTATATTAGAATACCATGAACTGAAGAACTTTACGCAAATGTATACTAACAATATTGCAAGGTATATATTCTTCGACCGCTTAATGAATTAAAAAAACTGTTTCGCTACAGTTTCTCTTAGTTAAATTTGGATAATATATACCGGTAATTATTGCCGGCGAGTCGCATGTGAGCCGCAGTTGGCTCACCATTGTTTTAGTGTAGGGGTCACCAAACTATGGCCCACGGGCCGAATCCAGCTCGTGGCGTTCTTTGATTTGGCCCGCAATAACACGAAAAAAGGACCAAATTTTTTTCCAAGGGATGTTTTCCATTGAGTTGTATAGGGGATGTGTTCCATTAAGGTTACGGTATCTATTGTTGTATGGATCTAGATATCTTGTATATTTGTTTTGCTATGACGTTCTCGGTCTATATTTTGCGATATAGATAGAATTTAATAATATTCAAGCCTTCAGAAATGTAGAATTTATATTGTTGAATAAATTGAATGGATTTCCTAACTTTTGTGAATTTATTGAATTACATTGACGAAAATATTTGTCCGGCCCCTTTCAACACAGTTTGAGTTATACCTGGCTGACTGGCTCGCGGTCATAAAAGTTTGGTGACCCCTGTCATGCCAAATCGCAAAATGTTCAAACAATTCATGTTCTACAAAGTGGACTCAGATTTTTAATAAACAGGGAAATTTGGTTTTGCAATCGCTGCTGCATTGGATTTAATGATAGATTAGTGTCTAACTACTCTCTCTACTTTTTAGTATGCTAGAAATATTGTTAACAATTTTAGAGTTTATATTGTATTTGGCTAAAAATTGAATGTTTGAAATAAAATCTGCTAACTTTACAAATTAACTTTCATTTATCAACAACCTGAATTTGCATATTGACCTTTTTTTTTTATTTCAGTTATCCCACCTTCAAATGAAAAACCTGGCCAAGACAATATACTTGGGTATGTTCTTAGATTCTACAAAGTATTGATTATACATAAGTAGGGATATTTTTGTCTGTTAAGTCATATGATAGGATTTACATACTTATCCCGGAGGAGAGGACATAACATAGAAATGCTTTTTAGTCAAAAAATTTTATGGTTAAATTAAAAATTAGTGAATTGATTTATTTGAACTATGAATCACAATATAGAATTGATCCATTTGGGTAGGGCTATCCAAGCGAACCGAATACTCGAATATATATTATCGATTTTCGGCCAATTTGCGAATCTCTATAATGAGGTACATCAAGCGGAAAAAAGCCCACAAACACCTTTGCACGGCATATTCCTCGTGGTGGAAAAGTGACTCTCCTAAATTTTCTGATTGACAATGTCTACCTATATCATTAAATTATGGTGATGTACTGAGCTTGGAATTTGAACTAGAGTTTTTTGAATTGTAACCTTGATATATGCTTTACCCACTGTTTTTTATTTTCCTCTCAGACTCTCATTCAATAAAAAACAACAGAAAAAAACAGATAATATCACGAAGGTAAAATACTTTGTTTCTTTATTGTTCACTTATCTATCGTAGTTTGTTCGATATTCTAAATTTTTAAATCTCAGCTCTTTATGCCCTTTGACCAGAATGTGGCCCTATACAAGCAGCAACTGATATGAAAGTAGATACAGAGAAATTTTTTTGTTTTGCTTTTAAAAGTTGAATGAATTAAATAGTAAATTTTGAGCCAGAGTCAACGTAAGATTTGTGTGTATTTGGGCTTAGTTTATTTATATAATAAAGAGATATGTTTAAATAAAAAAAATGCAGGTTAGTATTGGAATTTTATTCAAGAAGGTTCCCATAATAGTAAATTCTGTAGCTCTGCTTCATCCCTGGCTGTTAGTATGTAGTTAAATTTTCTTTGTACTTGATTTTCAGACTCAAAAAGTTTCCAATGCCATTCGTGACTCAAGGTGAAGTTTTTAGTTTAGTAAAATTCAGATTATTTAATATTGTATTTGCATATTATCATATCAAGAGTGATAGACACGGTCATAGGCTCTTGGAGAAATACTGGAAGGAATAGAGATTCAAATATATAAATTTATTTTGGTTGATATGACAAAAATATATAGTACTAGTAAAAGAAAGTAAGGAAATTTTTTTAAGTTGGGGGAACTCTTATTAAAAATTACCTTCTGGAATACTCATAAAGTTGGCAAGTATCTCAGGACAAATTTTTGTTAGTGAGCTAATGAGTTTGCAAGGTTATTGCGGCCAAAATAAATTTTATCATTATACTTTCAAGTAAAATGAAACTACACTCCCAACTATTTTTTTTGTAAGTGCTAACAAAACTGGTTGCAAGTTACTTATCCCAAAAAATAACCACCAAGCTAACCAGTCAATTCTCAAATAACACTACTAGATTCAAATGCATACATCAGTTAATTAGTATGACTATTTTTTTTTATAATCATTTCACTGAAATTTAAGATCAACACTTCAGAATTCAAAAAAGCAAAATTCATACCTCACCTTTGTGGGTAAAATTATATAGTCAATATAACTTTATGCTTCTTTGTAGTAACGACTCTTGTTCACTATTTTATATGCATTTGCATTTTTTGATTAGTAACATTTTTTTTGCAGCTGCCTCCATCCATCTTCAAAGCCAACAAGAATAATGACTAGAAAACGATGCCTGAAACATACAAATTTGTCAGATAAACATATATGGGCGGACATTCTAAACCGACAAAATACCAAACAGAAATCTGGCAACCAACAACAAAATACCAAACAGAAATCTGGCAACCAACAACAAAATACCAAACAGAAACCTGGCAACAAACAACAAAATACCAAACAGAAACCTGGCAACCAACAACAAAATACCAAACAGAAACCTGGCAACAAACAGCAAAATACCAAACAGAAATCTGGCAACCAACAACAAAATACCAAACTGAAACCTGGCAACAAGCAGCAAAATACCAAACAGAAATCTGGCAACCAACAACAAAATACCAAACTAAAACCTGGCAACAAGCAGCAAAATACCAAACAGAAATCTGGCAACCAACAGCAAAATACCAAACAAAAATCTGGCAACCAAAAACAAAATACCAAACATCGGACTCTGAAACAATTCATCCAACAAACAAATTTCAAACGTAAGTATTTTCAATAAGAAGACATAAAATTTACCACTTCTAAGAATTGAAGAAAAAAGGCTTCGCCAGTTGAACTCGCATATATTATGAAAATGTGTGTAACTCTAATCTCAAGTTCAGCCCTTGGTAATTACAAATAAAGTTATTGCATCAATTTTCACTCAACACCTATTTACACCTTTCGCTTCAAATAAGGTCACAGAGCAATCATTCACTGGTATTTAAGGATGTGTTGCACCCAGTAGCAGCCAGGGGGTATTCACTGGTATTTAAGGATGTGTTGCACCCAGTAGCAGCCAGGGGGTGTTTCGGGGTCGAAACCCCCTTTTTGACATTGAAATTTTTTGAAAACTGAAAATGTCGCAAATAACGTGTGCAATTGCATGTTGCTAAAATCGCCGATTATTTCCATTAGCGTGACGTGTTATTTAGGCCGTAAACCCCTTTACAGTACGCGACAGTCTAAAAACGCAATGGAAATCTCAAATTTCTGTGTGCCTCAGCAAATATTATTTTGGGTCTGCGTTTAGAAACATATCGTCACTAAACGGAAACGCGGTTAATTGTGGGCGAGATTTTTATCCATTATTTTGAATTGTTGAAGAAATTTTTGTATTAGCATTATACAAAAATGGCACTGCGACTTTTTTCCGGGTTGAGAGGATATATAAGATGATTATTCTTAAGTATACATTCAAATTTTATTGTAATGAAATAATTTTTACTCTGTCAGATTTTACAGCAGATTTATGAATTTTTCAAAAGATTTTATCCTAAAAATGATCGGACTGGCAGCATTGCGATTGGGCGGAGTCTGTGTTACAAGCACATCTCAAATTTGTCGAAATGCGAAATAGCATTATACGCTGAATAGACGCCTCTTTAAACAAGCGCGTATTCGCGGTGACTGTTACAAACGGTAATGGGAAGTTCCGATTCTGAAACCCCCCCTTTTGAAAATCCTGGCTGCGCGCCTGATTGCACCCTTAAATTCTTTTGACCAAGCGACCCCTCATGTGATGTCAAAAATAAATCAATTCCTCGAATATGGTTGAAATTGGATACATTCAATATGATATTTCTTTATATGTTCATTTGCTTTGATTTTCATTTATCAGTTATGACCAAATCGTGTAAACAACACAATGAAGTTCACACTATTTGGAATTGAATGTGAATCAGAATTTTAAAACCACAAATCTATTCAATTTTAAATTTTTCACAGCGGTACTGAACGAAAGACACATCACAGATGAATTAGAAATTGTATGTCTGGGGAAATGGAATTGCGTATCAGCTTTTATCAGGTATCCATTTATAATGATTTTTTTACTGATTTCAGTAATTAGTTTTGTTAATTGGATTGCTTTTAATACACAGTGATAGTTGTTCAGAATTAGTGTTGAACTCCTTATTTGTTTGGGAGCCGAAACATCTTTTTTCATTAGAAACAATTGTAAATATTTCAATTCATTCATTACTTTCACAACAATAATCATTTAAATATGTACATAATAAAGATAAAGTTATGAAGATGTATGTATGTGAGAGCACATTGACTCCTACTACTTCATTTTGGCCTTCACATTTATATTAGAGTTGCTATTTCGGGACCAGATTTGAAATCCAGATTTTTCGAGATTTTCACCATTTAATCCTGGAATTTCTTGAGATTAATAAAATTGAAAAGACGCACACAAAACAAATATCGCAAGCAGTCATTTTCATTTCCTACGAACGAAAAGTCATGAGAGACAGTCATTAGGACAATTTCTGATTTTGTTGGTGAAAAATCCAAGAGCTGAAAATACATGCTCAGCCTTAACTGATGTAAGTTGGATTGTTTGTGATGCGTCATTAAACTTTTCCATTAAACTTTCTGGCTTCTCCCTGCGTGTCTCATATAGCAGTATTTTTTTCAACCATCTGTTCAACATCCATAAGCACACCTTCGTTCCTTTTTGTTTTCATCGTGTGCAACAAGAGCACGAATATGGGCTAACATCATTAAAGTGTCTTCGTCAACGCTGCTATCTTTTTTGATCAAATATTCAGCTTTTTTAAGGTGTTTTGATCAAATAGTTAATTACAGAAAAATCTTTGAAAGCCTTTTCAATGTCCAAAAATATTCAATCAGGATTATTAATATTAAGAGGATTAGGATGTTGAAGAATAGTGGGGAGAGCTACTAGTTAACAATCCATTGAAGCTGTAATAAATAATGTAGTTTTTATGCAGTGAGAAATGGCAAAAAAGTTCTAAAATAGGCAAAGGTTGGGAACCACTAGTCTGAAATATTATGTTTACGGTAATTACAATTGTTCCAGAAAGTTTAAGTTTGCTCTTGTATGAATACATCTAAAATTATTTATATTCAATAATGCAGATTCATTAATTTGGGGACAAAATGGAATGTTTTTGACTAATTGACATTCTTTTGCTTTCATAGTGCCAGTGGTACTAAATTTTTCTTATGAACATTTTAAATATTCTGCAATCAAATAAATAATATTTTGAACATAAAGCCAACGATTCAACCATTTTCCATCTTTTCATTAATAAATATAATATTTTCTTGCAGAAATCGTCCATCTCAAACCTGAACATTTACTGTGAAACAAACCTAGTGTTATTTTTTGTATGTATCGAGGATAAATAAAGCACTTGCATGATATGAAAAAGACAACAACGCCTTTAATTACAGGATGACAATTAATCCTCAAAAAGTATCTATGTGGTAAAATTCAAAGAATAATATTTTTCTGTAGAGTGGTAAGTTTTCTTAACCCTTTCCATGCAATTTTTATTTTTTATTAAATAATCGTATTTGCTACGCCGATTTTATGCATTTGTACCCCCACAACTAATCGATCGACTCACGAAAAACTAATGATCATCTGCTGCCCACTGACGGCTCGTTGGAAAGCTTATTTAAAGAGCTTGCAATTGGCGATTAAACAAAAAAGTTTTTTCAAAAGTGGTGGTCTGAGTCACAAACCGGATAGAAAAAAGGCATTTTTTTTTCTTGGGAGTTGAAACTTCAAACCATAGCATAATATTGCTGTAGCCATTTCGTGATCTAACTCAAAATACTTTGATAGATGGAAGGGATAATATATCTTCTATTACCATCCAAAAAACACCGAAATTTGCATAAATTTCAAAAACACTCCCTCGTTCCGCCGCAAATAAAATTCCCGTCGTAAACGAAAGCCAGATTTACCGTCGCTTATGTTAATATCGAAGAAGACTTCTTATCAATAAACTAAAACCCGGAAAAACTAGACCAACAGTTTGCGACCGATTGCTAAAAAAAACAGTGGAGTACATCAACGTACCCGCCACAATCTAGCGACTTTTGTCGTTGGTACGTATACGTGCCACCGCACGGAAAGGGTTAAATCCTGCTCTTTATATTACTCGATGCTGTGATCTGTCGACAAGGCATGCTTGTAAAAGTTCGAATTTCAAAAATACCCAAACCAATTTGAGTTTTTGTACCTTGACTGTCAAATTCAGGTACTCAAAGTGTTGATAGTGCTTCCAGCTATTTATTGACCTATTCTATCATAGTGTAAGATTAAAAAAATAAATTTAAAACATGTCGCAATGCGCCAGTTATTTTAATAGATAGGATGGCTGATCCAATTCTGAGCCCTATGTTTGGATATTTACAGTTGATGTATATAGCAGCGATTCCCTAAGGGTGTGCCGCGAAAATGAAAATTTTGTTGAACAATTGTTTTACCTTTCTATGTCGTTTACTTTCCATTATGTAGTGTTTGCCTCTATTGTTACTCAACAATAAAGATAATCAATACTTGCAGCAGTTCATTTATATGCTGAACCAACCAAGTTTAGCAAACATTATTAAAATTAATTAGTTATAATTAGTGCCCAACCTCCCACTAGATGCAAAACACTCAATCTCAAGTTTTTTTTACAATTTATTGGGCATTAGGTCGCATTTGGGGATTTGACATCCTATTTAGTGTCATCTCTCCGAATAGAACTCTAACGTATGCTTTTGAAAAGTCATGAATCAATTTCTAAGGCTGGTTGGCAATTTAAAAAGAAGTAATATTGAATATGATGGTGGTTCACTTGTCTTCCATTCATCCAAGTTGATTTAATTGGAAGTTAAGAAAAAATAACTTACAATTATAATTTGAATTATATATTTTAAAATTTTTCGACATCGTATAATGTGTGCCGTAGAGATTCGGAGACTTTGCGATTAACATTAGATTTGGCGTCTAAAATATTGTATTTGTCACAGTGATCCTAAAGCAAAAGCGATTATGTTTTTTTGTTTAGTGATGATTTTACTGTCTTGGGTCTTGCTTGTAATGGAAAAAATCCAACCGGAAATGAGAATATTAAAAAAAGTCTAAATTTAACAGCCAGATTAGAGGTTACAGTTATTCTATCGTTTATTGTAGGTAAATTCCTAGCTTCTATTACTTGATTGCTTGATAGATATTTTTGAAAGATATTTTTGGTAATTGCTGTTCTGTAAATGTTGCTTAAGAGTTTCATTATGTCAAAAAAGTCTGCAGTTGGGCATCTTGTCTAGTTCTCACTGCTAGTCCATGGGGAATGTTCTGGTAAATACGCTTTCTGTTGCGGGGTGTAAAAGATATTGGTGTGTGTGTGTGTTGGTTTGGAATGAAGTTTTCAGTTTATCTATTAGGTGAACCATTGGATCTAAAATTACTAATGGATAAATTGTAGAAGTAAACGATTTTAATAAATTTTCTCTCGGATCTAACACACTAACGAATTCGCAAGATCGCAAAAATAAAGATTAAAACTAAATACAATTAGGAGTGTTTATCTCATATTTTTATGTCAACAGATGATATTTTATAGAAGTAATGTTTTTATTTTGACGCATAAAGACATAATGGTGAGTTACCTTGGACTCGATTATATTAATATGGAAAGATTTTAGATTCTCGTAGCTGACATGGATTGAATATTTGACGTGACGCAAAAGTTGTTATACGCTAAAAAACTTGGCTCTTCTATCGAGCGCACAATCACGGCGACAGTTTCAGAAGGGAATGGGAATTTTTCGGTTTTGAAACCCCCCATTAAAAAATCCTGGCTGCGTTCCTGGGTGTGGCAAATATATTGAGGAAAGTTCTGGTAGTTCTCTTGCACACTGGTTGTATCACTCTAGTAAGAGGTCATTTCATTCTGTAATTAGTTTCTCTCCCTAGTTCATTTAGGAGCCACTTTTTGTACAAATGGTAGTGTTGAGGTTGATATGTGATGTAATCTTGAAAAGTTTTTACCAGCGGGAATGCTTTATTTATTAATCAGTGGTATTCAACTTCCATTTTTTCTAGGCTACAAGTAACAACAGAAAAAAGGGAATTCTTAGAACATCTGTATTGTAATACACATACACCTCATTTGTGAGAGCATCAACTAGCTCCCTTGTTTGTTGATAAATGCTTTGCAAGCAATAGGGAGTACTATTATGTATTGAATTTTCATACCAAAATTTTGACTTTGCTTGAAATCATGCCGAATTGGACCCTTCACATTGAGTGATTTGCATTTGTGATATGGTTGACAGTGATCGCGCATGTAGAGCTCTAGGCATTCTCGGGACATTTTTGGTAGGGAGCCTCGTTTGCATCATGCAGGGCGTCACTTATTGTGTCTTCCTTTGGTCTTTGTTGATCTTCACTGTTGCTTTCTGAGTGTTCCTGTGGTATTTCATTAGTCCTGTCTTCGCTGGATCCTTCAGGTTCATACCAAAAAGTATGTTTTTGAATTTCATTCTTTGGACCTGGAATGATGTAATTCTTTAAGGTTCCTATTTCTTGGAAGCGGCTTAATATCTTTTGATAATATTTCTGGCTGGGTTGGCCTCACCTAGGCCGTGATGAGTAAAGTTTCGGTATTGCAGCCTGCATATTCGTCGATCGTTGAACTCAACGATACCGACCACATATATTCGAGCATTTGCCACTGTTTTGCAGTACATTACACTGCCTTGTAATACCCCGCACATCTTAGTGGCTTAATCCATATGGTCGAATTTTTAGTTCTTTTAAGCGGTAACTTGAGCTTCTGAGCATTTGACATTGATATCAGCTCCAGTGTCGACAAATGCTTTGACGACTCTTCTCTGATGACTATGTTGATAAAGTAACTGCTGCTGGTTAGTTTTGTCTGATGTTGCTTGTGCAACCGTTTGATCGGCAAAGATAGTCGTTTGATTTTTGTTAGTTTTTTTTAATGTTGACACGATGTGTCTTCGGCATAGACGATTCATTGCTGTTCAGGAACTGTCCCTCAGATTTTTCTCATTCCTCACTCTTGGTCTCGAGCCGTCGAGTGTCTCTTCTCTTTTGGGGTTTTATGTTTGCAGCTTTTTGAACCTTTGAAGTGGCTTTTCATACAACAGGCAAAACATTCTAGACATAAGCCATGCACCTTTTCCTACCTTTGCAGGTTTTAGAAAACATGTTGTACTGTGATTTTGTTGGCTCGTTCTTCTGGACTTCTCCTGGTGCTTCTTGATTTGCGCGAAATACTTGCCTGGTTTTGTACGCAGCACAATTATTTAAGCAATTATTCTTTCCGCACTGAGGGCTGCTGATTCAATCCTTCTTCCGTTATCAATTAAGCTTCTTTGGATCCCACTGATTCTTCAGTGCTTTTTTCTGATTTTCTTGATTAATTGTACCCAATGATTATTTGGTCACGTATCAGTATGTCTGCTACGGTGCATGTTTTTACTGCACATGAATTTACAGGCCTTGGCAGGCCTTGCGAAGTTGTCAATTACTTTCTTTTTCTTCCTGATGGCAGTTCATGAAATTCAAAATTTGCAATGGTGTAGTTCAGGGTTGGCCCGTAATCACTCTTTTCATTTTATCAACAAAATCTTTGAATTCGAGATCTTTCACCTTCTGGCCGACATCTTATAGTCTTTTTGAAAAGTTTCTCGATGCAATCTTCCAAGGAATGACTTTTTCGCCTATTCCTCTCGATCCATGCGTCTCTGTGCCCTCCCTCTTTCGGAGGATCTCTGGCAATGGCATCGTATTCCTATTGGGATGAATCTACAAATTCGCAGAATCCGTCATGATAATTGCCGAGTGATTACAGGATCAAATTTGTCAAGCTGTGTCATTTGGAAAGCCATGTTGGTCTGTACGTTAGGACTTCCAGAGTTGTTAGTTGAGTTTATCCTGGTCGCCATTAATAAGTTCCACTTTATGCAAACACAGATACTTAGATTTAAGGTTTAAATTAAAGTCCTAACCATGCAGTCCTAAATAACAACGAAACAGATAGTTAGTTGGCATTGTAGCTAGTAAGAACAAGTAATATGGAGCAGATTCGCGAACATAACACTACAGTCAAACTAAGAATAATCCATAGTCAAAGAATAAGTCAACCACAGGTGACGTGGCAAGACTTTTCATCTATAAGCT